CATTTTTTACCATGATGGTGACTGAGCACTGGCACAAGATGCCCAGGGAGGTTGTGGAGACTCCATCCTTGGAGATACTCAAAAGCTGTCTAGACATGGTCCTAGGCACCTTGGTCTAGGTCACCAAGTTTAAGCAGGAGAAGTTAGACCAAAGGTCCCTTCCAACTTCAAACAATCTTTGGTTCTGTGAACGTTTACTGGATTTCATTAACGTTTCTTAAAAACCCATTGTTGACTGTTCTGGACTATGTGTATGTTAGATGAGACTTGTGTTATTAGTTCCCATATGAGACTGGTGAGATGTGATTCCATGCTACCATCCTTACCATCCTCAGCCCCCCACCCCACCCCCAAGTTAGAGGTGGAATGCTCAGGGGAATGAATTGCTATGACTATATGGTAAGTTTATGGCCTACTCATACCTAAAAAATTGTGCTGTGTCACTCTACACATACTGCAGGGAACATCTGGCTCAAATACAGGCCAGGGAGGTTTCTGTTTAACGGGCTCTTGGGTGTTCTGCAGCCTTTCTGGTCTCTGCTCTGCTGCAGCTACACCGCTCTCAGTACTTGGGCCAGTAGTTTAAAGCAAGCCTGAAGCTTTTGAATATAAAGGATCCTCTTGCAGAGAATGTTGCATACAAATGCTTTCACGTTTGTTTTCTTCTCTGCAGATATAAAAGCTCAAAGATCATCAGTGAAAAGGCTGTGTGACTCTGATATTTCTAAGGTCATAAAATGCATGGAACATGCCCTGATAGCAAAGTACCCCAGGACACGATACGGAGCTGGATGGGATGCAAAGTTCTTTTGGCTGTTTCTCTCCTATGCCCCAAGCTGTTTATCTGACATGCTCCTGCGTATGACATTTCCAGCTCCAGCAGTTAATGGGAGATCAGTTCCTGGAGTTCTAATTAACATTTAGTATTGAACATGTATCAGCTATTTGGGAATAAATATTAATCTTGTTAAAACCAGATGCCATGTTCTTTACCATTTACTAGACTGCTTAAATTCCTTTCAGAAGATATTTTCTCCACCCCATGTCCCTTTCGCCTCCTTACCTGGAATTTCCGAGTTTGCAGATAGACTTGTAAATTCAGCATGGTTCTGAAGGTCATTTTTTATGCTCAGAAAAGATCTGCATTCATAAAGCATTCAGCTACAAAGCTAGTTAATACTACTCACCCAATCAAAAATTTTTAATCACTAAAAGAATCAGCTTTTCAAGTAGACTTCATCAACATACAGGTTGCTGGTGAACTTGAAATAAAACAATGGCCTTTCAGAACATACACATGTGCCTTACAGAATGTATTCAGTCATATTTAGTCATCTATTTCCCAGGCTGTTTGCTCAGGATCATATTCAGGAGCTGCTAAAGTTCAGAAGCTTCTGAACACAAGACATGAAACCTTATAATAAAGCACAGCTATTGCGACATATTGCAAAAATTACAATTGCAGTACTTGACCACATCCAATCACCTGCCTATTCAGCTGTGTAGAGTTAAAACACAAGCTATTTTACAGCTATTCAATTACAGGGAAAATCAAAACTACATTGTGCTCTATTACTATAGAGTATCCAAACTTATATTTTAACTTGCTCCATAATACTATTATAGTTTATGAGGAAGATATTAAAAATAATATGCAATCACATTTCTTTTGTCCTCGGTGTACTTTGCAAGTTAAAAGGATGACTATTTCACTCAGTAGATGAAACAGGTCATTAGCATACGGTAAGGCAAATTAATTCAAGTGTACACAAAGTGTGTTCAGAATGGCAAAATGTTAGTTGAGGCTACGGTGCCTCTTGTACACTAATTCTGTCTGCTAAGCTGTTGGCCAGAGACTCACAAACTGGTGTTTCTAGAGATATTAAAACTGAAGGGTAAAAGTTTTATTTGCTAAAGAACTGCAATAGCGATTAATAATTAACGTGCAATTCAATTAGGCTTACAAAAAAATCCCATGTGCAGGTCAGAACTCCAAATGTAAGAAAAGGAGTTTCATCACCCTGTGCATGTGAGAGAGGGTGTATTTGTATACATGTGAGAAAGAGACAGAAAGTGTTCAGGAACCTTTAAGTATTTCATTGATGTTCTGTTCTCTGATAAACAGCTTCAAGAATAAATTTGTGTTACTCCATTTCATGATAAATACTTGCAGAGAGATAGTTATCTCTATCTGGCCTGACAGAATGTACATGAAAAAACTTAATGGCAATTTATCAGGCCTAATTGGCAGGTTACAGAGATGTGCTGAAACCTCTCAAAATTACCTTTCTTTGAAGCAGAAAGAGTTCAGAATTCAAGAATCTGAGCAGAGAAAGGGAAATACAATTGAAAAAAAAAGCTAAGATAGAACAAAGTACCCCAAATCAAATTTTATATAATCAGGACACAGTGCAGTATGCAACTGAGCGACAAAGGCTCAGGAAAAGCTTGGGAACACTTCACTATAGGTTATGTTAAGCAACCAGATCTACATACTGCTTACCTATAAAGTATCCCTGAGATGATAATTATATGGGGGAAAAAGAAATCTCTGATACATGGCTGAGGTGTTAGCAGTTTTCTGCAAAACCAGTTCCAAATCTTTCTGTTGATAAAGACTATTCACAAAGTGATGCTTTTTCTTGTGGTACGCAACTGGAGGCGAGTCTTGTTGAAATGTCAGTCCTGTCTTCTCTCTTGAAAAAGCATTGTGAGCTCTTTCTTTAAGAACAGCAATTTGCCTTTTAAATAAATCCTTTCTCATAGCCTTACAGATGTGTATGCTGTGTCCTGGATTCTAAGGAACTTCCTACACTAAAGCACTCAAATATGAAAGATAATTCAATTAAGGTTTTAATCACTTATGTCCATGCTACCTTGATACTCAGTCCCTTACGAGTAATAGTTTCCTCTTTCAAGGGCCAGGTGTTTTTAATGGGTTTAGTGAGGCAGCTTTCACACTTAGAGTGATAATGATGTCAGTGATTTTATATCAAGAACTTCAGACAGTTGCGCGAAGCAGTAAGCACTACTCGTATTTTACTTTATCTACAGCACTGATGTTGTCATCTCAGAGTGCACGTAAGTCTCCACAACTGAAAAAAGTACATAGTCTTGACAGAAATTATGGCTTAAGGATGTGATAAAAGAATACATTTATTAGATTTATTCAGCAGCTTCATTTTCCAGTTGTCTTTTCTAATCAAAGTAAGTTACAAATTAATTATAAGCATTCTAATTAGAAATAGTATATATTTTCAGAAGTTGGATATGAAACAATCAAATAGCAGAAGTCTCAATGATTATAAATTTAGGAATCTTTAAATTATGAGTAGCTAGCCAGGAATGCTGAATAACATGTTCCTTCAGTCGTACTTAGCGTTTCCTCAAATGGCTCATGTTGTGGAAACTACCCTGGCTAATTAATAGAACAGCCAGTAAAATGTGCAGTATATTCTGATGAAAGCTTATAGAAATAACCAGATAACTAACAAAGACTGCATTAGTAGAAATTGTTTCCCTTTCTATTAATGTCCACATCAGGAAATAAATAGTCAATAAAATTAAATTTTCACATTAAAAAAACCTGAATAATTTCTTAAATGAACCAATATCTTCTGTATTTTGCTGTTTGGAAATACGTTGTTACAGAAGTTTAGCTATTTCATTTCACAGTACAAATTACTTCCAAAGACTCCAGCCAAGAACAGAGCTATTCCACTGACAAGCAGGAGAAAATCTCATTAAATTAAGTACTTGTGGCGCTAAAATCTAAATATATCAGAACTTTTTAAGAACACTATTAATGGAATGGTGTTAATTGGAACCTAGAGGAAAAGTACATTTTATGGACTCAGAGGAAATTATTTTATCTCAGGCAGTTAAAATATTGTAAGAACAACATTTTGCACAGCATAATGATGCTGCGTTGACTCTTCCATCTTTTGTTTAACACAAGATGGACAGAGAGACCCATTTTTACATACAGTAGTATATAAAATAGGTTGTAAAGATGCCCAGAACACCAGCAGAAGTTTTAAAAGGTGCTGTTATAAATATATTCTCTAAAGAACCTGTAAATCAGTAATGTTCCTATATTTGCCTTGTTTGGTTTTTTTTTAGTTTAAGCATTTGTATCATGAATTTATCCGTAAAGATACAACCAGTTCCATACAGATTTCTACTAGCAACGTCACTGAACAAGATAATATTTCAAAAATTTACAAATGTACAATATATTTATAACATTACTTTCAGACGGTGTCAGTGCAAAGATATACATATAGTACATCACGATAATTGTTCATAAAAATAGAAATTGGCATTTGTCAAAAAACAAGGCATAGTTTCAACATACATCTCCAGCCATTGGCTAAGTGATGTATGTATTTTATAAAGCATTTGAATGTGAACCTTACTCTTCTGTTTATAAAAAATATATGTGCAAATGGATGTGTCTAATTTTCCCTAAATCCCTGTAGTTATACCACAGAGTCCTCTTTAACAAGATTGGCGGTGTCTTTAAATGTATCCTCTGTTGCTGTATAAGCTAATGGTTGGTCTCTCTTCAGAGTAATCTTGGGAGGCGGTGAAGGAGAAGGGGTAGGGACATTTTCTGTGTCCTGTTGCTTTTCCTTTTCCATCTGAAACAATAACCACAACATCTAATGTACAAAACATCCGACCTTAACTTTCGAAATGTAAATAAATATCCAAGTATTTTGCTGAAGTCAAGTGTCATGATATAAATTATTTCTCCAAATCACCACCTGTAACAAAATTATATGCCAATTTCACCTCAGATGGTACAGCTGCAAACTCAGTCCACACACTAGGATTTCTATTTTAGTGCTTAATGTCAGGAGTCTCTTGACACGTCTACATGAATGTAGATAACATGGCACTTACACTGTTTGTAAATAATCACATTCATTAGTGTTGGGGAAATTAATCCCTAGCTTCCCAAACTCACTTTACTCAAGCCTTAGAAACCTAAATTCTTGACAAAAGGCACCCAGTTTTAGTCCCATGACTCTGCAACTGAGCTTCTGAAGTTGCCTAGGCCATGTGGAAATTTTAAACTGTAGGATGAAAAGGGCTGGAACTACTGGCTCAAGTCAGCAGAACTCCAAATTTTCACACCCAAGCCAGGGGAGGATTCCTTCCGGACCCATACCACCCACTGGCACACCATCTTTAAAGAAATGTCGGGTGAAAACAAAACAGGGTTGGTATGGAAACAGGCCTGCAGTATGCAGAGCTACTGGATTTTTGTGCAGTGCTGAAAGCCAGGACACTTTGCTGCTAGTGCAGCACTTACGCTGGATGCCTGAGCTGTGCCCGAACGCACCAGCAAGCTGAAACCAGCACCTGAGATCCCTGCGCAGGAGCAGCCCCACCGCTTGGGCTGGGCAAGCAGAGATGGGGGCAGTGCAGTTGTGGTGCCTGAGCTGGATGCCTTTTTTTGCTGAACACCTCATTCTTCTTGAAACTTCTTAACTTTGCCCAAAACAACTTCGGTCCTACCTTGACCTAGGCTAGAATTTTTGTGCTGCTTCACTTAACAGCAGAATTTACCCATAATCTTCATCCTATGAAAGCAAGAACATAGTCCAGCAGTATATTAGCTAAAAAACATAACTATAAAATATTAAGCAATACCTCTGCATATATTGGGTTTTCAAAATTTGTGTTTTGTTTCATTTTTCTCTTGAAGAAACTCCACTTTGATTCCTGAAACATAAAAATTATTAGAAATTTACATATTTTTCTCACAACTTCTCTGGAAACTGTCATCACTGATGTTGGATTGTTGTATTTCACTTGTGCTGACTGCTAACTCAGTGATTTCAGATGGATGGTCCTACATTATCGTGTTGCAATTCTAATCATGACCCAACTTTCTTTTCTGCTAGATAACCAGCTATGGTTATTTTACCTAAAGCAGTATTCATGAGGCTAGGCCAAAAGGCAATAAATTAAGTCAAGGAAACCTACTGTTTCAGACAAATAGGTCAAAGAAGAAAAAAAATGAAAAGAACACAATTACTGAGGGACATGAAACTACAATAACAGGTTGCCAGAGCTGCCATTTCAAAGCCCATCAGTGTGAAAATTTTAACGTGAAAATAGTCCTGTAAACAAGCCACCGTCAGCTCATTCAGACAGCTTTTAAGACATAAAAACGTATCTTCCATGAATCATGAATTATCTAGATGAGGTGATACTTTGATCTTGACTGTTAAAATGTCCTCCCAGAATACACAGAACAAGTGTCTTAAATATCCTTATTAGCACTTATAAATACAGATAAAATTACAAATAAGTGTGGAAAAAAATTAGAACAGTACATCGACTCAACGTCTTGTTTCAATTTCCCATACCTAGGTTTTCACTGTTTTAAACCAAAACCTATTTTTTCTTGAGTTTTCTTTCTGTATTTTACAAGCCAAAATAAAAAGAAAACCATATTTTGCTGCTTCTATCAAAGTGTAATTCATTAGGGATTTACAAATCATTATTAAAAGTCTGAAGTAAAGCCGTAGTTCATAGAATCATAGAATGGCCCAGGCTGGAAGGGGCATTAGAGATCATTTAATCCAACCTCCCTGTCATGGGCAGGGACGCCACCTCTCGACTAGATCAGGCAAGACGTGTGGGGACCGAACAGGAATCGAACCTGCGGCCTTGGTGTTATCAGCACCATGCTCAACCACCTGAGCTAACCGGCCCCCAAGCTCTAATAATTTCTGCTAGGGAACAATGATAATTTAGATTAGTTGCATTACAATTTTCAGATTAGTCTCTGCTCTCAAAACGAAGCGCAACAAACAGTGAAAGAAAACTCTCTGGTCCAATCTATTAACTTGAAAACAAATGACTGGACCTGGAAGAAGAGGGGTTTTAATCCAAACTGATCCTTACTGTGTCCTCTGGGCAATTCTATATTTGTGCTGTTTTTCCCTTATCAAACTGTTTCTGATCACCTCTTGCAGATCTTGTGAACAGGATGCAGTCAATTGGACTTGATGCAAGTTATGCGCCAACTCCATGGCATTATTTAAAGAGAACTGAAACTATGCTGCAGCTTCCCTAACAATTCAATTTCCCTGATTTGGAGCCTTCCAATACCTGAAGGGAACCTACAGGAGGTCTGGAGAGGAACTTTTTTTACAAGAGAATCCAGTGATAGGACAAAGGGAAATGGATTTAAATTGAAGGAGAAGAGGTTTAGACTGGATCTTGGGAAGAAATTCTTCAGTACGAGGGTGGCAAGACTCTGGAACAGATTGCCCAGAGTGGTTGTGGATGCTTCCTCCCTGGAGATGTTCAGGTCAGGTTGGATGAGGCCTTGAGCAACCTGGTCTAGTTAAGGGCATCCCTGCCCGTGGCAGGGAGGTTGGATTAGATGATTTCTAAGGTCCCTTCCAACCTAAGACATTCTATGATCCTATGAAAATAAACAAAGCAGCCTTAGAGCATTTCTGTGTCCTACCTGAGGTGCATCTGTACTCTGAGGGGGTTCCTTCGAACCAGCAGATATCACAGAGGCATACACAGGATTTTCAAAATTTTCGTTTTCCTCACTACCAGCTGCTGCTACCTGTAAAAGAAAGAAAATCAATGTTCTTCAAAGAAGAAAAGGCCATAAAGGAAAATGGAAAGTGAAAGTCAAGCTAAGCATCTCTTACATGCGTTGGCTGAGCGACTGTAACTACACTGGCTGTGCTGGCTCCACCATCTCTGGTTGCATACATTGGATTTTCAAATGTGATTGGCTGCTTCCCTGACTCCACTGCAAAGTTTTCATTCTATGAAGGAAAAAAACCAAAAACCAAACAACTGCAGTGCAATAAACAGCTTCATACTCCGAGGAATTATAGTCCAGTTCTTCATCTCAGGGAACAATGAATATTTACTTTCATATAGGCTTAGGCAAAATCTAGCATCTGGTAGAACTCGAATGTTACTTTACCATCCATTATTTTACTCCCTGACTTAGCAGCCTAGTCCACTGATTGTTCCAATATTACACCAATTCCAAGTTGAACAAAAAAACCGCCACATTTTAATAATTGACTCACAGTATTTTGCTATGAGGAAAGATGACTCTCACAAATCACACCTTCAAGAGGAAAGAGATATCAAAGGAAGCATAATCCCAAAATAAATATTTCATTGCAGAGACTTCAAAATGACATACAAATTAGTAAGCACTATCTGACATAAAAAAGGATGGGATTCATTCATTTTGTCCCAGCAGGACAAAGCAGTTAATTTTATCCCCTTAGTTAAAACACATGAATTATGTCAGAAATGTCTAAGAGTTTTTAGCATATCTCTTATTATAAATCCATACTTTGTCCATGCATGAAGACCACTGTGTGAATAGCAGCTGCCTCACATATATTGTGCCAAACCCTGAGCTGCAGCTGCAGTGTTTGCAGCAGGTGGGCAAAGGTGCCAAAAACTTCTTAAGAAAATATTTGGTGCACATAAGTACAGCCACCTGGGGTAGCCACTAAGCATCACAGGTAGGAGAGTAATGAAAGCAACAGCTCCCCCTGACTTGCTTGCCCTGCTCCTTGGCACAACTCCATCAAAGGAATAGTGAGGAATAACATGGGAAGAGAGCCCATCGGCTAGTTCTTTAAACCTGCCTCAGCCACACTGAAAAATATCCCTCTAACACCTTCTCATGCATATGTGATATTAGAATTGCTACCGTAAGCCAAACCCTTTGAGTTCTTTGCCAGTGAACTATGCAATTTGTTGTTCATACTCTGAATATAGAGGGAGAATTAATGCCACTTAAGTAGAAATAGCCTGTAGCTAGACTTGTTCTTAGCAATGTAAAAACTGCATCAGTTGGACTTCAGCATGTCAATACCAGGCCAGAAAACTGAACGTACCATGACGTTTCTCATGCATGAAAAAGATTTGAGATAATATTCAAGCCTAGAGCTACTTTTTCAGTATTTACTGAAATCTTCATATGGTGGTTTCATTACACAAGCTGCCTAGTTTTAACAGAGTGGGTTTCTTAATCTAGAAAAAGTCACATACATATATTATAAGCTTATCTTTCCTAGCTGTTTCATTTCATATTAGTTTACTCTCAGTTAAGTCTAATTTACCTCTGACTTTAAAAGTTTAGAGAGTTGCCAGCATAGACTTTGCAACATGTGCTTATTATTCAAACATATCTCTGATCTGTTTCTGATAAGTAAAAAACTTTTGTACTTTGTATTTCTTATGGTGAATAGGGGAATATTTTTTCCATGGAAAAACTACCCAGTATAGGAAACACAATGACGCGCTCTTTCTCAGGTGTGCATAACAAAACACGGACGAAGTAGAGTTGCCCTTTACGATGTCCCCAAAACTATTAAACATGATTTGTTGAAACTTACTAAATTATATTACTAATTGTAATTTATTGTGCATAGTAGTGTGCCCTGTGGTTAGGCCTTAATTTTCCCTCTGAAGTTTCTAACATACAGTCTGGATTTGAAAACTACACATTTGAACCTGTTCTAATGAACACAAAGGCCCCCCAAAAATTCCTTGCTATAATATTTTCATTTGCCTATTCATTGCCCATATATTCCACGAACATGCTGAAATAGGAAAGCAAGTAATCAATTTCTATTGTATACATCGTGAGAAAAGTCACATTATTTTGAAGAATAGCCTACATTTGTCTTTGCCTTCACTTCAGAAAAATCTATTTCAGGAAATTAACAATCAATGTTCACCTCTTTTTCTAGAACACATTTATCATCTCATTATCTTTCTTACGTGAAAGACTTTTCTCTATCAACCTAAAATGACGTTAAAAGAACACAATTTAAAGAAATTTCAGAACTAAACCTTACCATTTGCATTGCTCTGTCTATAGCAGAATCTCCTCCAAAGCCAGAGACTCCTATGTCCATACTCACATCTGTTCCAGATCGGAAAGTTACCCCATTGCTATTTTCAGTAGATTTTACAAGACTGCTTAAACTGAAAAAAACCAAACAAACCAAACAATAAAAAAAACATGAGACAGAGAGAGAGCGCTTATGATACAAATTTTTCTAGTTGTTCTTCCAAGAATAATCATCACTTGGAATTTTTGCTGACTCTAAACAAGCTAGCAATGACACCAGTGTAGTACCACCGCACTGTCTTTAACCTGAGTTAGCCCATTCAGAATTATCCCAACTATCTTTATGTCTACAGGAGCACACATTGAATAAACTCAGTGAATTAGAATTTACCTACATTTTGACTACTCTTACTTCAGTGTTCATTTACAGACAGATCATAGAATCATTGAACTATTTAGGTTGGAAAAGACCTTTAAGACAAGCGAGTCCAACCATTAACCTAGCGCTGCCAAGTCCACCGCTAAACCATGTCCCTAAGCACCATATCTACACATCTTTTAAATACCTCAACCCCCTCCCTGGGCAGCCTGTTCCAGTGCTTAACAAGCCTTTTGGTGAGAAAAAAAAATCATAATATCCCATCTAAACCTCCCCTGGCACAACTTGATCCCACTTCCTCTTGTCCTATCACTTGTTACTTGGGAGAAGGGACTGACCCCCACCACCCTGCAACCTCCTTTCAGGCAGTTGTAGGGAGAGAGAACGTCTCCTCCAAGCCTTCTTTTCTCTAGGCTAAACAACCCCAGTTCCCTCAGCTGCTCCTCATGACATGCATAAAATGCATGAATCCACTCAGTTATTCATATTCATTCCAACCAATTTTTAAAAAACAGCAACTGAAATGGCATACTAATTTGCAGACATAATTCCAACAACTACATTAAAGATGTTTATACATGCAAATCATGAAGATACCTACAGGCTCCTGTTTTCATAGAAGCCACTGTTCAATCTGTGTATAGATTTACAGCAGCCGCAAGTACATATTAGATTTGCATGAGAAATACTGGAAATGGGCTGAAAGAACACTGTTAGCTCAAAATAATAGGAGCAGTGAAACAGAGTAGTGAGTAGCCAAACACAGGACTTCCACGTAGAGCTCTGAGCATGCATCTCCTCAACTAGATCAGGCAACACATGTAGAAGAGTTTTACAATAGTTCTTTGTTACAAAATAATCATCAGCTATGATGCTAAGATGCTTTGCTTGGAATCAAAAATCCACTGGAATTGCTGCACCACTGCACTCCCCATATTCCAACAGAACGGACACACAGCCAACGAAATGGATTTTCCAGAAATACTCGGGAACAAACATACATTTTCAGTACACAGACATTCCGGCTCCGAAAGCCTTCAAAACATACCTTGGCAGTTTGGGAAGTGCTGGTAAAAGGGAGCCTGTTCGTCTGTAGTTAAAGAAGCCTCCAACTGCTAACACTCCAATTATGATGATTAGTATGACTGTCAGCAACACTGCTACTGCTGCTATCAAAGACAGAAGAATAAACAAACATTCAAGCAAGCGCAGTTCAGTGTAAAAAAGAGCCCAAAGAATTATAAGCTTGACCCTAAACAGGGGTTATAGTGAGGTGTTACGCATTCTTTAGCTCAAAATAACAAGTGTAACATATAGTTGAAGCTTACTTGTTCCAGGAGGCACTCCCTTTGACAATCCTATTTCACAGTAATTCCCAGTGTAGCCATAAGAACACCTGTAAATATAAGAAGGACATCTGACTGAATGGCTTTTATTAAGTCTAGGACCTCAACTTTATTATTATATTCTGTAATATTTATCTATATGCCATGAATTTTAACTCCATGCTCTGTAATTATATACTTCACTGACTGTAAATATAGCCTGTCTGATATCTTCATAGAATTAAAAGTGGAAATAAAAGGTGCTGAGTCAGAAAACTAGTCACTGAAGTTGAAATAATTGGTTTCGGCGGAGCATTGGTGGCACCTACTGGCTGTTTCAAGCTACATTTAATAAGCATTATTTCTCCATTGTTGAAATTTTTTAGTAGAGCCTCTTACTAAAATCTTCAGAGGTTTGCCTTTATGGTTTTGGGGAGGGCTTTTCTTTTTTCCCCAAAGTGATACATTTACCTTGCTTTTTCACTAATATTTTGTGTGTATATGTGTTTCTTGTGATTGTTACAAACAGGGTACTGCAGGTGTGCCGCATCTTCTGAAGGACCTCCAACCCATTTCAAAGAGTTTAGTTGCTCTGTGAGACTAAATCAGCACAATCTGACCCAAGACAACCCTAACTGCATTCTGACTTACTTGCATTTCGGAAGATCGCTTTCATCTAGATAGCACGTTCCTCCATACATGCACCTGCACGCTGGTGGCATTGTGGGAGGGGATTCAATAGCTGCAAAAATCAAAAGCCACATATGAGTTATCAAGCTATAGAGGTTCCGATGTTATTCTAATGCTGAGTCAAGTGAAATGAAAGGGAAAAGTTGAACTATCCTTCAGTAAGAGTTCAGGATATACTGTCAGAAAAGTGTAGTTCACATATTAAAAGCTCTGGATATTAGACATCATTATAGGCCATAAATTAAGGATAGATTTTGAAAAGCCTGTCTTACACTGGTAAGTTAGATCATAATATTTTTGTCATAAAATTTTTATCAGCCAGAGGTAAAGAAAGTCTGTTGCTACAGTGTTTCTTACGGGTAAAACTCCTTTCAAGTAAACGAGATACAAAAAGGGGAAATGTAGAGGTCCTGCATGCTGTGTTTCTCAGTAGCTGCAGTATAGGGAAAGGACCAAATAAATCAAAATGTATGTAAAAAGCTGTATTTGGTCAGTACATCAGTTATGTCAGTCACAGTTCACTTGCTTAAAAAAAATTGCTTAAAGTCAAGATAGAAATCAAAATTCAAAAATGGACACAGGACTGTATATCCTATTTGCCTTGTCCTCCTTTTATGTAAATCAACTTCAGCAAAGAATAACAAATGCAGTGTCCTCAGAGCAATGAAGGGCAATAGCAAATGCAATCAACAGGGTTATTGCTTAAGCAGGTATTGCACACTTCCATTCACTATTGCATCATATTACTACCTCCTCTTTCTGCAGCTCACACCATGTGGCAATAGGAAAGAGCACTAACAATTATTAAAGAAAATTTAATTTAGAGATAATGCAGTGTAATAAATAACAAGATTTTCTGTTTTAATGCCCAAAGAAAAGAATTTGGAGAAGATTAACCACAGAAAATATGTCAGACAATGATATAAGGCATAATTTATTGGAAACCTGTTGCAAGGACAAGTACAAGGACATCTGGCTACTACCCACAACACTGTAAGCTAAGAATGCAGACTCTCATCTAGAGAAATATAAATCCTGCTGTGGTATGCTCTTGCTTCCCAGGAAAGGCCGAGCTATTCTATTTTATTTGCACTCCTGGAAGCACTATGGGGAATCTGCTGGAATGCAACAACCAAGCACTAAATTCTAGTGCTTAAAAAGGTTTTCCAGCGTATCTAGAAGTTACCTCTGTTCACACTGTGAGTTCTGTAAGTTTTGTTTCAAGCTGCTATTTGCATTCTGTTACACTGATCAAAGATCACCTTGTACAGATTTGTAAACGTAATTGCAAACCATAATTTGTCAAAAATTATCTAGTTCTGAAAGCAATGCATTTGAAAAAATGAAAATAAAATATTTTGGAATTTCAAAGTGAAAATTAGAAACTGTGACCAATTTTGCAGCTGGGTCTGGACCAGCTGGAGTGACATTCTATATTCATTTTACAAATTGCATGCAAAGAGATTAAATGAAATGCACAAGGTGACCACAAATCAGCGATGACTAAGAATAAAAGCCAGATGTCCTGACTTACCAATATCTAATATAGGAGTTAGGTCATCCCTCCATATTTCTAATTCAGTAATGCATTTGCATTCCTAAAGAAAAGCTTCCTTTGCTTTCATTTCCAGTTTAACAAATTATTCTACCTGCATCACACTCTGTGCTGCTGCCTTCTACGAATCGAGTCCCCTGAGGACAAGCGCAGGTGTACCCTCCTGGTCTCAGCAGGCAGAGGTGGCTGCAGACATCTTTACAAGGATTAGGCACTGAAAAAAAAACAGTGATAAAGGCAGCTGAAGAAGCAATGCGACATATTGCCGAGGTAAGGTGGGGCAATTCCGTAGTCAGTAGTGTATCTCATCAATATCACACACCAAAAATCTAAAGAAGTTTAGATCCATTTTTTAAAACAGCTGGTGCTCAAATATCACATTTAAATCACAACCTTCTCTCTGCCTTCTCTTACATTCCTAAGAGAAAGGCCATGGCTGTTGGGAGCCAGTATAACACCAAGAAGAAACGGAATATCTACAAGCAACATGGAGTTTTCTGATTCTGAAAGTTAAAATATGTTTAAAGAGGGGCATGCCCAACGTTTCGCTGGACATCCTTCCCCGTGAGTAATGTGGACATGTCAAAGCTGAAACAACCCCCTTGGTGGCACTACTAAAAGGCCAGCACTTTGCACATTACCAGGATAAATTGATATTGTGACTGCTACCTCTATGACAACTCCATGATGATGGAGAAGAAGAGAAAGATCAGGGTCATAACTTAGAACTAAGAGACTCTAAAGAGCAGTGTGTGGTATTCAACTGTTGATTTCACTGTGGGTGTGCAAAAAATACTTGACACCCTCTAATCCATTTTTAGGTTTTCAGAAATTAATATTATCACACACTGATAGATGTACTATCAGAAGATTGTTGAGCCCCTGGAAGACACCATACCAATTTCAATCTCATAGCAAGGAACAGCTCACCAGGATGTTGATTACCTACCCGACTGATTGTATCTGTGCTCGTGATAGATGCGCACTTGAGTAAGCCATGGATTTACAGTCAGTACTTTAACTTTTTCTCCATTTCCAAATTTATCTTTCTTCCAGACTTCTCCTCGTTCTTTAGCTACCCAATATAAATGGCCTTCAAAGACATCAAGGCTGTATGGACTGCCTACTACTCACAGGAACCAAACACAAGAGATTATCAGCAAGCAAATCTTTAGCAGGAGCAATAAAACTGCTGTTCCTCTTTGCCTTAACTTTATCATCTAATTCTGTCACTTTAAGACATTTGCAGCTCTGTATATAGCCTGACCATATACATATGTGCCTGACCAATTCAGGTCACTGTACCTGCAGACTGCTTAATAACAGACACAAAAAACCCCCAAGAATCCAATTTTCCATATTGTCCCCTATTTGGGTCATGTAAACTACCCTCAGGGAATCTACTAGGCACCATGAGCTGTGAACCTAGTGTGCCATTTATCCCTATATAAAGGAGGAGAAGACACTACTAAGACTTACTCTTTGAAAAGCTTCCAAAAGTAGCCCCACTTGTGAAGCCCAAGTTCTTGTTCATATACATCTTGGTTAGTATTACCTTAATTGCATAATAAGTTCTTACCTCCATGTAATACTATGGTTCTGTCTGTCCCATCAGGTCTCATGGATTCAATAATATTTTCTTTAGAATCGCTCCAATAGATCCTGTCATTGTTCAAATAATCAATAGAAAGACCTGTTGGCCAGCCAAGGTCTTCAGAGACCAGAGTTTGCCTTTCTTGTCCATCCATCCAGGCACATTCAATCTTTGGCTGCCTTCCCCAGTCAGTCCAATACATAAGCCTGAAAGGACAGAAACAGAAATTAATACGGTTCAGAATTTGGTCACCATGATTGTCTTCTGGAGCTTCATGGGAAAGGTCAGTTGTGGAACATGGAGCCGTTCAGCAACCTGTTTTGCAGATGTGACCCGGACAGTCACAGAGAATTCACTGAAAGCTTGTTTTGAGTACAGAAGATAAACACCAAAAGAACAATGTTTGCATCTTGTGTCCTGATTTGGAGAGAGAGTGGTTTTAATGACAGTTTCTCACTCTCAGAGGAAGAAAAATGCCCGTGAACACTGAACATCCGTGAGTTATGACAAAGCTGCAGCGCCCAGAGACTTCAGGAAGCCGTGCTGCTCGACTCCAGCTGAGAGAAGCCCATATTGTGGTATCTAGTGATCCATCAAATAACACAAGATGTAGGGAGCACAGCTGTTGCATGTACCAGCACATTTACATTGCTTGCCACTGGGAAGGAGGCTATGTCTGTATTGCTTGGAGCTGGTACAAAGACATTCCCATGTATTATCCTACTTCAGGAGTAACAGGAATTTGCTACGGCACACAATACTGTAGAAAAGAGATTTTTATTTTACCTACCTGGTGGTGTCACCAACACAAGTACCAATGAAATCTAATCCTAAAGTATTTTCCCATGCACACAAATTTCCTAACATGAGTAAGAAGAAACTCCAGAAAGCACTCCCCATGTCTTTTCTGTAAAGCTCATTGTTGTGGGGGTTTTTGGTATTGAGTAGCATTGAAAATCACAGAATCGTTGGAGTTGAAAGGGATCCCTAGAGATCACCTAGGCCACTCTCCCACTGAAGCAGGATTGCCTAGAGCACATTACAGATAATTCTGGGAAGTCCTGTAGTACTTACCCACGTTTTGGATTGACAGCAATAGCTGCTGGCTGATCCAGTAGAGAAAAGATAAGCCATTTTCTGTATCGTCCATCTAATTTTGCCACTTCTATGCGATTAGTCCCTGCATCAGTCCAGTAAAGATGTCTGAATTACATAAAACACAAAACATTCAAAAAGTAAATAGTTAATGCATGGGAGAGGAATATTAAAAAAATAATAATAATAAACCCAAAGGAAATCAATATAACAAAGCTGCATTGATTAAATGTGAACTTTTTCAGTCTGGAACATACAGACCCTAAATACAGGTAGGTTTTGCAAATGTGATCTATCAGCTCACTAGTTTTCTCCCCTGACAAAGTTTCTGCAGCTGTCTCCACTCTGTGACAACTAATCTTCATTAAAGGGCTACAGAGAATTTTCATTGTTACTTTTAAGCAGCAGAGTTGGCTAATGAGCATCTACAAAGATTCAGTTTTCCAGGAGACAATGAGGTTTATTACAAATAAAAATTTGTTTACCATGTAAGTTATACGGTAACTCTGAAGGTATCCTGCTTATTAGTCCACAGCTCCTCTCTAGACTTTTGTTTTCAGACACAGAAGTTAATGAATAAATTATTACCAAACCAGATGCAAATGCTTTTAGTCCTTATAAGCAGGGCAAATGGTCTACACTTCTTTCAATTTTGCTTATTTTTATAATTTTTTTGTTGACCTTAGATGATAAACGTGCTCATTATTATGTACTCACTAATCACACCGTGCATCCTGAAGGAATAAATTAGAATTGTCTTGGGAATGTGAGAAAATACTGTAATTCCTATTCTGCAGGTGGGCAGAAGGATTGTCTCAAACAATGTGCATCAGGTTTATATAACGTGCAGACACTTCACATTTCAACATTGTCCCAGAATCAGTGTAACACTGTTTGAAGTGCTGACGGTGCTAACCTCACCACAATGATGGTACATACCCCTTACCCTTGCTCTCACGACCATACAGATTTTTGTATAGAAATTCAGACATTCCCTCAAGATCATACAAAGTACTGCTGTGCTTGTCCACCGCATTCTTTAACAGTTATAATGCAAATAAGAAATTACACCCAAACTCCGAAAAGTCACACCCAACTTTCTCCCAGCTCCTTTGCAAGGGAGGGAAAATAAGCCATGATCTCATGATTTCTAGGATTAAGTTAAAAATTTCCAATGTTTTAACCTAAAAAAAATCCACAGCCAACAAGTAGGAGTAAAAACCTTTTTCTGAGAAAACACATAAGTTAATCAAACTTCAGAGATGCTTCTGCTTTGAGATTAGCTCATACAGCACAGGGCAGGTAAGAAAGGAGCAAAGATACAAATTACATTATGGATTGGGGAGGTCTCCTTCTAGCAGCAGTGAAAACTTGCTCCCTTGAGCTTACCTGAGTTCTTGAAGAAGAACCTATCTGCCATGAAGGTCAGTGTATATCACTATACTGACACACAACTGATCTGCCAGTTCTGGAGTAACGCAAGTTCCCTCAGAGAATACAAAACGCAGTCAGCAACATTCATTTAATCTGTTAATCTGCTGTCTGTGCAAACAGTACATTCTTCTGAGCTACCTTGAGACTGGATATTTTCAGAGACAGTTCTTAAGGAAGAAAAAAGTGGATTTCGCACGGCCTCGTCAGACCCTTGACACATTCAATGTACAGCATTTTTCTAGCTTTTCTGTGCACTTACCTTCCAACCCAGTCAACAGCTAACCCGTCAGGATTAACTATGTACTTGAGATTCAAGTCAACTTCCTTTGTAGGATTGTTCCTACTGCTGTCAAATGTGGGCAGATAAGCACGTTTGATGGCTCCAAACTCAGAACCCTGTCCCAGAATGCTGAAGTACACAATACCTTCAAAAAAAATGACATATTTTTAAGGTCTAGTTATTCCATATGCTTGGAAAATCCTAATCTTTGAGGGTTGTATGTGAAGACACCAGACTCCTTTATTTATGAGTAACACAGAGCCATCTGCTCACTACAATTACATTATGTCAGCGTGCAATTTTTTAATGCATTCGTCATAGGTAAGATGTCCATCTAAAATAATCTCGATCTAAATTATCAAGAAATATTTATCTATCACATTTTTCAAGAGTGGAGGGTCTTAGCTCTGAAACCTTTACAAATTGTTTTGAGGGTAGTTTAGATTCTTATGACCCTACAGCCCAGGACAGTGGCCCTTGAAATAGGGAGAAGCAGGTAAGCTGATAAAGAGATAAAGATATAAGCCAATATAGGGATCTACTGGACACTCCTGCTTAGTATAAGGATTATTTCTTTCAAGACACGAGCCAGGTTTGGGGACTGGCAGAGGCAGAAGACAGGAAGTAATTCATTTATAGCAATCCTCCATTATGGCATAATCCTAAAGAGTCACAATTACACAGCTGAACTCACACCAAAACAAAATCAAAAAACAGAACAAAACCTACCTAAACTACACCAAAGCACTAAAAGGAACAACACTGAAGATGAGTAGAGGGGAGGGACACATTCATCCAAGTCCAAGACCAGTTAATCTGATTTAATTTTGATTTCCAAAGTAAATGGAATATCTATGCTGCAGAAATGCACGTTTTTAAACCAATCATTGCATGGTAGAGTATTAATGTTCTACACATACTCACTCAGGCCTATGCCTTCAGGGTCCCAATCATAGTCCAGAGCTTGGATGCGCTCCTGGTTATCAATATAGTCAGAGTACTGCTCTGAGGAGATATTGTATCTTCGAATTCGCACGTTATCTGGCAGCAGTAACAATGGAGGATTGCCTGGGAAACAATAATGAATTTTACTTTAATGTATTTCTCATTTTAGAGGAAACAGATGAAAGTCACTTCTAGTCAAAACTAAACCAGAGTTTTCACAAGTTCTGCCTGCATAAGAAGCAGAAGGAACAAGGGGCCACTGCTAAATCTTCAGAGCTCTTCACACTTCTTAAGTTTTGCAAAATTTATTATAAACTCTGGAAATGCTTACTGCTCAGGACAGTATTATCCTTTTCAGCACAGATTTTTTGCACTAGTAATCACTAAGAGATAACTCCTTAAAAAATATTAAGATTACAGTGTTGGCATATCACAACCTCACATCTCAAAACCAGAATGCTGCTATACACTCTGCAATTCAGCTCCCCCACTCAAAGTATAGGAAAGTACAAATAAATTTGGTAGTACCTTGAGCCATGACTTGAGTTCTTCTACCTGAAAGTCTTTAAATCCTAAATATCATCCTCCATATTCAGATGGATGTTCTCCTGCCCACAAGTTAATTTGGGGTTAAGCCTCAATACTCTAATGAACTTGACTACAGGGAGTTATCAGTCCCACATGGCTGATTTTGCTGGTGAAAAAAATTAAATTGTCGGCCCTTTGCTAAGGATGAAGTTAATTTGGGAATCATGAACTTAAATCCTAGGCCTTCTTCCAGTAAAGAAGTTCTACATTAATCTCTTCTTCATAAAGCCAATGAGAAATAGCAAGACATCCAGCTGGGAAAGGAAAATCTCACTTAGCAGTTCCCTTGCCAAATAATAATGCTCCATTTCCCGTGAAGTGTCCATTTGAACACAATCCCTTTCCCTCTAAGTCACACCCAACTGTGGGAGAGTAAGTTAAGCGACTATTCTCTAATGACCATACAATTCAGTGTAGCAGTTGACAACATTTCCAATAGGCACAACATTACAGGAAAATGGGAACCTAATATTCTCTGTGTGTTCTGCAGATGCCTACTGATCAGCCTTCAGCAGGCTCAGGCAAAGGAAACCCTCAGTTATGAGTGCTGTGAGCGTACTACAAAAATGGTAGAATTCCGGGCATGCATAGAAGCAGAACTCTGGGCATAGCAAATTTCGTGTTATCAGCTACAGTCATATTATCTTCTATCACTTAGTTGTGAAAACCTTGGATGGTAAGACGCTTCCTGAATAAATCCTATGGAGAAGGGTTTCAATGAATTAGATTTTGACACAGGCACATAAAGAGGCAGCCAGGCAGAAATCCAGGATCAAATGTCCTTTTGTATTTCCACTCTCATGCTCAACAATAAATATTTGCTGAATTAGTCTCCTGGACTGCAAGCCAGGAGATCTCATCTTCTTACATCATTTCTCATATTGCAAATGATTTTATCATTATTACAAATAACCTCCAGCAGCACACAGTTCTGGTCACAGGCATTCTGTTCTGAAGATTTTAGTATTTGACTGGACACACCTTATTTCTATCGTGTAACTCTTAGAGCTGTTAAAATGTAAGTACTTTTCCAAATACAATATTGTTTCTGCCTTTTATATAATACTGCTGCATCATCACTATTTTCTATTTTATTCAGCTCTTTAGTATTATTATTTTATTACTATTACTTTCTGCATAAACTCTGTACCTATTCAATGACTGTGACACACTGTAGTCATTGCACTGAGGTATGACAAAATCCTAATGATTGATGTTGAACATTTGCCAACGTCCGTCTGTTTGTGTGCATGAGTCCATGAACAATGAAAGGCAATCTGTCACCAAACTGCCTTTGATTTGTACCAGTTTAATGACACTTTCTTCTGATGCATTTTTTTGCTGAAAAAAACCTTAAACTTCAGGAACAGGCAACATTAATTTCCTTCTGATGACAATCACCAGATAAGCAGGTTTTTGTCTGCAGAAAATTTCGGGAGAAAGGAGGGCAGACATCCAAATCAAGATCCTGTTTTTTATGTTTACAATTAAAAGCAGAGATGAGCACTTCTATTTCTGATTATAGAACGTGTGGTATACACTGACAGCATTATGTTACAGAATAGTTTGGGTTTCTTTATCCCCTTCCTAAATAAAGAGAAGATTACGTACATTAAGTTGCTATAACTCCATTTGCTCTTTATAGATAGCAATCAATCTTGCTATTAGTTAACATACCATTAGCTGCGCACTGTTTCCCTTGTTGATCGCCCACAGACCTGAAGCCATCTGCACAGAAACATTCGTAGCTTCCTTTGGAATTTTTGCAGTCCTGGGTGCATGTTCCAAAGATCTCACACTCATTGATATCTAGACATAAGTAGAGAAAAGATTCCCAGGGCTTAATCTCTTTCTTCCACATACTGGTCACCTTTACCCCATGAAGTGGTAGGTTTGGTCCTTCCCTACATACTCTAAAAGATCAGCGACCTTTAAGTGATCTTTAACATCAGCATCTGTTATCTAACGGAACTGCTCATCACCCATCTACCGTTTAATGTGTCTTAGCTACAAACTGCTAGTAACTGCATTGTTCCTGCTTATCAGATTGCTTTTCAGAGTGACATTTTTGATCATGTACTTTTGTGTTAAGTCACCAAGGAAAGGCAAAAGATGAGGCATTACTACACTGAGATGCAAGAGCCAAGTCTTCTTGAAATGCTGAAGTAAAGACACCTAGTCCTTCGCAAGGAACCAGACAAGTGGCCTTGAATCGTGTTTAATAAAACCACGCAAACTGTCCACAAAAGCTTGGAGCAACAAACAGAACCGTTCTTGTCAAAACATACTGAAATGGTAACTGTGAAGATACGATATTGCATGACCATGAACAACGGCTTTTGGGTAGACTCTTCACCATATTTTATCCGCATATAACCAGGACAAAATATGGCACAGCAGTCTTCTACTGTAGGCCTGTTCTGGAGGAGACTGTACTCTCATCCTGAAGAACAGGAGAGAGAGTATAATCTTCAGTAAGTTTTATTGAAATAAGAAGAAAAGAAAAAAAGAAGAAAAATAAATAAATTTCTGTCCCTCAGATTGCCATGATATGACAAAACTTATATATAGTAAAGCAAAACCATACACCTAGAGCCACCAAAAGCTTAAAACAAGCCTGAACCGTGGAGCCAGTTCTTAGCTGCATGAAGCCTGCATGTTAGAAAATATGATTCAGCAGCAAAATCTTTCAGGAAGCATCTGCTAAACGTATAAAAATTCTGACAGAATGCGAAATGAGTAATCACATTAGAATGATGAAGTGACAGGTCACTGAACAGTTATCAGTAGGAAGATGTTTAGCAGATTGAAAATACCGTCACAGGAGTTTCTGTTAGTTTCACTGGCCTTGTACCCTGGCCTGCAGGAGCAGATAAAGCCTCCTTCACTCAGGTTGGTACAGTTATGTTCACAGATATTTTCTGCACAAGTTCGCTCTGTTCCAGGATCTGTGAAAAAAAATAATTACAATTATAACCAAAAAATAAACTGATAAGGGGGAGAGGGTGCCATAATTTTGATCATATTGTAACTGAAAATGGTTTTCAAGGAGACAACATTAGTTTTCTTTCCTTTTTTTCTAATTTAAACTCAATTAATGTGCACATTTCTTCTTTAGGGCATAACTAACCAGAAGAGGGTGGTAAACACTTGTCAAGACAGCTGTCAACTTAGAATAACTTCTAAAAGTGAACAAGATCAGTATAAGAGCCATAACCACCAAAGCTCACTTTCCTTAAGAAAAATGGCATTCTACTCTACCACCAATCTGCAGCAACTGCAGAAACTCTTTAAGAGACTTTATTCTAACTCCTACTTTTGCCAAGCTACCTTCTTCTTACCCAGTCTTTTTGTAGTCTCTTCTTTTAAACAAAAAATATTCTCAATTGCTATCATGCATAATGCAGGCTCTACATTATTTATATCTGGAAATCAGAGAGATGACAACAGCTTGTTCACGCTGCACCTAATCTAAAGTCTACTGAAGTCAGTACAGTTCATTGTACATAATGCCCTGCCCTTTAAAATGAGCTTGTAACACAAAACGCAGATCAGGGATAGTAGACACTCTGTAACAGATAATAAAAATTATACTCCTCTCAAAGTACATACAGGATTCTCTTGATTCTGATATACTCTACATACACACAAAGCCCTTTAAGATTCAAATTGTTACATAAGTAGAAAAGATCAATAATATATGTTTATTGACAGAGCATGAGAATGATATACAAATGTACGGCAAAGACATTAAGCTGAGTATCTCCTTTGTACATACACATCACAGTGGTGATTATATTAAGTTTAAACAGCTCAATTTCATACACATGTAGAAGCATAAATTCATTGTACACACATGCACTTAAATATTCTATTTTCTCTAACACAGGTATTTGATGTTGGAAAGGCTACAAACATTACCATCTGATCTGCATACACATCTATTCCCAAACAGCAGAACGCTGACTGCCAGAAGACGTCTGTTTTGCACTGTTTCACATTGTTTTTATATTTCTGTATTTTCATCAAGTCATTGAATTAGGTTATATTACATAAAGACCATTGGGACGGAATGTGAAACAGAGAAACCAGCTGCTTCAGAATGGGCTGCATTCTAGGATTCTGAGTTATTTGAGTTTTGCAAGCATGCTGAATCGTAAATCGCCAGTGCACCATTTGCCATGCTTTCACGTGAAGTCATCAAAGCCTGACAAACTGAAATTGCAAGTACACGCTCATATTATGACTCTGCAGCTGTCCATATATTGATATAAAAAAGTTAAGTATTATAATTTTTTTCCAGATTCCATAAGGAATGCTCTCTCTTGCCGCAAAGTTCAAGCCAAAGCTTTTGCATCCAAACAGATGCTAGTACATTTACAACGCATAGCTAATCTGAGAGGGCCCTCAGCCTGAGGACCGGCTGTCCTCCCAGAATTTTGTGGCCATATCTGTAAATAGGAAAATAGATGCATCTCAATATACTTTTGCTCTTAACAGGGCTAGAGCAACCTATACAAGTTCAGTCTGCCCATGAATAATTGCATACATTTGCCTGCTGCAATTTTAATTGAAATATGTGGATGTTCTTGCTTTCATAATGCAACCAATTTCAAAGCAAGATAAAACACGATCAAGCCCTTTTATATGATGCATAAATACTCTAAGCCTAAAAAGGACTGTTCAGAGAGCTGAATTTCATAGACTCATAGAATCAGTTAGGTTGGAAAAGCCCTTTAAGGTCATCAAGTCCTACTGTAAACCTAACACTGCCAAGGTGCAATAAGCCAGTCCTTAGGTGCCATATCTACATGTCTTTTAAATACCTCAAAAGAAGGAAAACAGGAGATACTGTCATGGCTAATTGGATAATCATAGCACAGGCTAATTAAAAATCAGTACTTCTTAGTATCCTGCTCAAGAAGAAACATATATTTTTATCTGTTCCAGAATATTTTTTCTCAATGTGATCGTAATTTTGTATTCTATTGACATTATTACTTACTGCAGCCCGTTTCATCAAAATGGTCTCCACAGTCATCGTAATTGTCACAAACATAATGTAGAGGAATGCAATTTCCATTACTGCACTTGAATTCTTCAGTTGTACAAGGTCTGGGTGTTGGTTCTCTACCTAGAGTCAAGAAGAGAAACAGTCCTCTGTCCCAGTTCTAGTTATGCAGTACCAAGAGGAGCACATTGCTAATGAGGAAGCTGATGGAATTGGGCAAAAGAAAGGCTAGTGTGACTTTGCAAGTCTATAGTAAAGGCTAAAACTATATCTAGGCCCTCTTATCTTCTAGTCATATCCCCAGGAACTGAAAGAAACCCCTCTATTTTATAAAGACAGAAGGTAAATTCTTGTTAACAGCTGAATGAATTATTTGTAATAGGGCAAATCTACTACTATCCTTTAACAATACTCTTCATATATCTACTGCAGATTTCAAGAGATTATTAAACTATTAGTAAACTATTAAGACTACTGTACAATAAAGCCAGTAAATCATATCATAAAACAACGAAAAATATGATTAAACTTGATAACATAAAAATCAACATAGTCAATGAGAACTGCGTAAGATACCCGAAGTCAGAAACCTACTGAATATTAACAGAACTCCTGCAGGATTTGGGTCTAAATATCAACACTGTTACTATGTGCGTAACAGTGCCACAAATTCAGAAGTACCTATATCTCTATTAAAGTCCCAGCTATCCACTCTATCCTTATTTTATGATACAGTCAAACTCTCTTCTTCCTTATTTTTAGTGGAGTTCATAAGTTGACATAATTTAATTGTTGAACATCCTGGTCCGAGGATTCTGCTCAGTGATTTTTACTTTCCAGTTCTTCTAAAAGGCTGCACTTTCTGCAGTCAGCAGCATGTTTTTGCAGACAGTGTGAGCTACTACCAGTGATAACACCTGAGGTTTACAGTCACTGCCTGGGACTGGGATGCA